TCTCAGAGATTGTTCCTTGCCTCGACCGTGCGCATATTGATTCAATGACCGCATTTTGGGACATCACAAGCTTGCACATGTACAATGCTGGTTGCCCAATAAGTACCTGAGATCTACATCGAGATTACAGAAAAAGACCGCTTGGTAGAATTTGTTCTTTTTCGTTGCACCGCTTTGATCGCTAGATCGCTAGATTAATCGTCTCAGCCATCCCACATTTCACCTCTGTGCCTCGAGGGGAATACCTAAAGTTGGTGCTCCACCAACGCTGCCCTCACCTGAGTACAACAACAAACTTGTCATCTGCGCAAAGCAGAAATGGGAGGAAGAAAACTAAGGACTGCACGAGTCTGAAGGACCCGTCCATGAAAAATAATTTGACATCTCGCTTCTGTGGCATCTGTGCCAAGTACATAACACGTAACGTGTTCATCCATTGGAAGAACAGAGAACAAGTACCTTGGATGTGAAAATGGAGCTTGGTATATGTAGCCATAAAGTATATGAAATTTCCCTCTCTTAATGTCCATAAAAGGTGGCATTCTCCAAACTCGCTGGATCAGGGGTCTGCAACCTTAAAGAGCCACTCAAAGAGCCATTTGGACACATTTCCCACAGAAAAGAAAACTCCGGGAGCCACAAAACCCTTCCCGTGCCTGACTATTTCTTAAGCGGCCACAAAACTAGCATCTGTCGTTGCATTAAATGTTCTGTTTTCTTCTGAAACTTTTCTTTTCTTGGATTTATCCATGGTTGGCCTACCGGGGGTTGAAAAGCTCAATAATCGCGTGCCGGCGGGTATCACACATTGGCGGTTGTGACGCATATTTTGAGTGACAGGGAGGCACAGCAGAGGAGTAAAAGAGCCACATACGGCTCCAGAGCCTCAGGTTGCTGACTCCTGCGCTGGATCCTACCCCAGAAATTTCCTTATTATATCAAGGGCAGCAATAGGACAAGGACAGTAATAGAAACAGATATATTGTAATAACGTATTTTTTGGTAAATACGGCTATCTGGAATGTGATTTGCTCATATCAAACATCTTCAGCAAGTTTAAGATTCACAGCTTGTGTTATCCCACAAGACAGTTTCCTAACTTACTTGGGGTATGTCATACTGACATCGGAATCTGTATAAATGTTTGATCCTTTGTCGAGATGTAATTTTTGGAATGGCTAAATGAAATAATTTTTAGGAGTATTTTGCTTCACTTTCTCCATGTCCATCATCATCATCTTCTTCTTAAGGGGGGGTGGGGGGGGTGCTAAAAGAATGATTGTGACAAACATCTCACATGATAAGGGCAGCCAATGCAGAAGTAGAGAGATGTATGGCCTGGAATGGTAATAATAAACAGGAGGATTCTGGCAGCATCTTTTCCAATGAACATACAGGTAGTCCTTAACTTACGACCATTCAGTTACAATAGTATTGAAAACAGTGACTTATGACCATTTTCCACACTTATGAACATTGCAGTATCTTCAGGGGCACGTGAACAAAATTCAGACGCTTGCCAACTGTGTTAAGGGCCTGGTGGCTCAGCAGACTGATAGCATTGTGATTAACACCAGCTGTCTGCAATTACTACAGGTTCGAATCTCGCCAAGGCTCAAGGTCGACTCAGCCTTCCATCCTTTCTAAGGTAGGTAAATTGAGGACCCAGTTTGTGGGGGCAATAAGCTGACTTTGTATAAATATACAAAAGGATGAAGGCTATTGCTGAGCACATTGTAAGCCGCCCTGAGTCTCTGGAGAAGGGCGGCATATAAATAAATAAATAAAAAACCTCATATTTATGACGGTTGCAGTATCCCGGGGGCATGCAATTCCCTTCTGTGACCTTCTGACAAGCAAAGTTAATAGGGAAGCCAGATTCACTTAACAACCGTGTGACTAATTTAAATTCATTTAACACCTGTGGCAAGAAAGGTCGTAAAATGGGGCAAATCTCACTTAACAACTGTTTCACTTAGAACAGAAATGTTGGGTTCAATTGTGGTCTTAAGTCAAGGACTACTTATATTTTATTAAAAGCCATGTTTCTGTGAAGTATGCCCTCACGAAACCTTACTCTGGTTAGTAAAATGTGCACCCGTCAGAAAAGATGCTACAAGACTCCTTCTGAGATTTATAAGGGTGTGTTGCTTTTGATATGCTTGCTAATTTGTTTTTCAAAACCTCTGAGACAGATCAGCAAGGTTTAAAAGTAAAGACACATGAGCGGAATTTCTTAATGCACAACTGTAGACAACCTGCTTGTGAAAAAGCAGGGGCAACATTTAAATATCATGCCGAGCTTAAGTTTTAATGGCAGCGTTTGCTCAAGCTTTGTTTAATCCAATATTCTTTTGCAAAAATCTCAGCTCCCAAATTGCATTAGAAATTAGAAGGCCTTTTCCACTCCTGTCTGACCTATAGAAAAAAATATTCTATAATTCCAGAAGTCGCTCTGAGAGTCTGCATGCATTGTTGGATAGGAAACTTGAATTTTTGACTGCTGGAATCGTCTGCCCCATTTATAAATTTTAAGGGGAAAATTAACTCTCTGTATAATTTAATGGTCCGATTGTAGGAAAGACATGTAATAATGGCATCACTATTATTTTCTTTTTTTTTTTTAAGCTGTACTGTACGAAATCCAGAACTACAAGTTTCCACCTTTCCAGCACGTAGAGTGAAAGGGTTCAAATTTTTCAAATTTTTAAATTCATTTTTCGAAGCACTGGAAGGTGTTAAGGAGCCAAATAAATAAGTAAATAAATAAATGGAAACATAGACAAACCCTTCCTTTCTGCAATCCTTTCTATGACTATTGGGGGGGGACAGGTACCCCCCCCCCAGATAATCCCCTACCAAAAGGGGCTCAATCTATTCTCCAAAGCACCAGAAGGCAGGACAATAAGCAACAGATGGAATCAAGGAGAGAAACACCCTAGAACTAAGAAGAAATTTCCCGGAAGTGAGAACAATTAACCAGTGGAACAGCTTGCCACCAGAAGTTGTGGGTGCTCCGTCCCTGGAGGTTTTCAAGAAGAGATTGGATAACCAGTTGTCTGAAATGGTATAGGGTCTCCCGCCTGAGCAGGGGGTTGGACTAGATGACCTCCAAGGTCCCTTCCAACTCTGTGATTCTGAATAGCTTGCCTCCAACTGTGGGCGCTCCATCAATGGAGGCTTTCAAAAAAGAGGTCAGACAATCATTTGTCTCAAATGATACGGTGTCTCCTACTTGAGCAGGAGGGGGTTGGACTAGAAGACCTCTAAGGACCCTTCCACCTCTGTTATTGCTACTCTGAACAGCTATGCCTCAACCAGAAGTCTTGGTTGCTCCGTTGCTGAAGGGTTTTTAAGGAAAGACTGGACAGCCACTCGTCCGAAATGGTACTTATAAGGCCTCCTGCCTGAGCAGCGGGTTGGTCTAGATCAGGGGGTCAACCAACCTTTCGGACCTCAGGGAATTCATAATTTTAAATCCTCAGGAACCACTAATGTGGATTTTTAAAAAGATATTTAGTGCAATATACCAAGAGCCTTGGTAGTACAGTGGTCTAAAGCACCCTGTTATTAAGACCAGCTGCCTGCAATTACTGCGGTTTGAATCTCGCCAGGCTCAAGGTTGACTCAGCCTTCCATCCTTTATAAGGTAGGTGAAATGAGGACCCGGTTTGTGGGGGCAATAAGCTGACTTTGTATAAATATACAAAAGGATGAAGGCTACTGCTTAACGCATTGTAAGCCGCCCTGAGTCTTCGGAGAAGGGCGGCATATAAATCAAATTTATATATACATATACATACACACACACACACACACACACACACATATATATATATATATGTATATATAAATTGCAAATAATTTTTCTGTGGACCACCAGTTCACTGGGACTTCAACTCCCATGAAGTTCACCCTCCCATTTCAACTCACTTTAACTCCCCTTCAACTCCCCCATATTTCATTCTTAAGAAGAATGAAAATATTAACCTTAATGTGAACGCGGGTAAATATTTATAGGAGCACTGCATGACAGTTGAGAATTTTTTTCTTCCGGATAAACTTTTCTTTCTTTGGATGGGTTGGTTTAATGAAAGTTTGTACTTTCTCTAGGCGAAAATTGATACTTTAAAACTCTCTATATGTATTATATTACTCTCTGCAATTCTAGCCATATTGTTATACTTTTTTTTCCCTGTATTTTTTTAATAATTTTCAATAAAAATTTACAAAAAAAAAAAAAAAGACTGGTGGACTTTCAACTCCCATTGAAGTTCACCCTCCCATTTCAAGTCACTTCAACTCCCCTTCGACTCCCACATATTTAGTGCGATATAAAAAAGTGCACATAATTTTTCTGCGGACTACCAGTTGGCGACCGACCGCTGGCCTAGATCAAGGGGTCTCCAACCTTGGCCCCTTTAAGACTGGGGGACTTCAACTCCCAGAATTCCTCAGCCAGCAAAGCTGGTGGACTTCAGCAAAGCTGGTGGACTGGTGGACTTCAACTCCCAGAATTCCTCAGCCAGCAAAGCTGGCTGAGGAATTCTGGGAGTTGAAGTCCCCCAGTCTTAAAGGGGCCAAGGTTGGAGACCCCTGGTCTAGATGACCTCCAAAGACCCTTCCAATTCTTTTGTTATGCTCCTTCTCATTATTATTTTCCAAAGATTCCCCCCTCACCCCACACACAGCTCCACAATGGGGGGAGGGGGAGGAAGGAAGGATCTAGAATGGGGGGGGAAAGACCCCCTTAAGCAATTCCTATGGGCAACCTACACCCCCCCACACACAAAAAATAAACTCTGGGGGAGGGGTGGCTTCTACCCAAGCCCCCCTTTGCAAACATGCAACGTTTCAAGGCTGAGGGGGACTGCCCCCCCTCAATAATTTAACGACCCCCCCTTCATTGCCCCACAATCTGGGGGAGGGGGGTTTCAAGAAGGAAGGCACACCTGACCCCCAAACACACACACACACACCCAGCCGCCGCCATAACTCACAGAACTCGGCGATGTAGGAGGACACGACGTAGTTCTCCTCGCACCAGTCGAGGGTGGACGTCGGCGGGCCCCAATAGCCGGTGCGGTCGCCGGCGGGAGCCATGGCCGGTCGGAGGGCCGAACTTGGAGGAAAGGAAGCGCCCGCCGCCGCATCCGCTCTTTTTCGGGGCCCTCGGGCCAGCTGACCCCGCCTTCCCGCCGGCTTGAGGCGGGGCAGGGGCGGCGGCGGGAGGCCGGCCTGCTAGGCCTGGCGGGCAGGGCCTCTACGTCGCCATGGCGACCAAGGCGAACGGCTCGCAAAGCATGCCGGGCCGGAGGGGCTCTACGTTGCCATAGCGACCGGGGATGAACCGCCCGCAAGGCTTGCCGGGCCGGGGTTGGGGGGGGTGGTCTAGTTACCACGGCGACCGGCGACGAATCGCCTTCGAGGCTTGCCCGGCCGGGGGTTCTACGTTGCCACGGCGACGGCGGGAAAAGGGGGGGAAACCGCTCGCGAGGTTCCGAGAGCCGGGTCTGGCCGTTGCTATAGCGACCTCTGAGCGTTCCATCCTCACTGGGTCCCTGAGAGGGCCGGTTTCCATGCAGCAGGATTGGCCTCACAGGCATCGCAAGGTGGTAGCCCTCATGGAGGTCAGGGAAAGGCTCCCGAATGTTAGCTGGGGGGGATTCTCTCTAGAAGTCAAACTGGCTTAAAGTTGGCAAGGTTGAGAAACAGTAATCTAAGGTACCAATGTGATGCACAAGTGAATAAAACTTAATTTTAGGATCTTTTTTTTTGTTTGGAGAAAAAAAAAATTGGTGATATATCTAAATGATTCAGGAGCAGGTGGGGAAATATGGAAGGATAAGCCTCACATCTGAAGTAGCCATAAATGAATATATAGGTAGTCCTCGATTTACAACATTCCTTTAGTGATTTTTTTCCGAACTTACAACGGCACTGAAAAAAGTGACTTATGACCATTTTTCACTCTCACCACCTTTGCAGCATCCCCCCCGCGGTCATGTGATCCAAATTCAGATGCTTGGCTCACATTTATGACGGTTGCAGTGTCCTGGGGACATGTGATAATCCCCTTTTGCGACCATCCGACGAACAGAATCAAAACGGGGAAGCCAGATTCATTTAACAACCGTGATGCTAACTTATCAGCTGCAGTGATTCTCTTAGCAGCTGTGGCAAGAAAGGTCGTAAAATGAAGCAAAACTCTGTGGCCGTAAAACGAGGACTACCTGTATTCTAATATATTGCTAGAAAGCTTTCTGTGACAAAATGCTGTTGATTAGGGGGAAAAAACATGATGAGATTTTGAAGGTTTGCACGCTAGAAGGAACCAGAAAGAATTAAAGATTTGACTTAAAGATGAGACCCAACAAATACAGAATGGAGCAAAATACGATAATTCAAGGATATTTGGGAACAATGCACTGAGAAGCTACTTTTAAGATGATCTGCTGTCATAAAACTGAATTTAAACGGTGTTACGGAAGAGGAACAAGTTTTACTGGAGAAGGCTGAAACTGAAGTGGATTCGAAAGTGGGTTTTAAAATGGTTAATGACATGGAGAGAAAAAAGATGGATACGCAAAGGACACCAAGTAATGTCTTCATAATTAAAAGGGATGTGCAAAAGAGAAACCAGAATAGCGACTTGGATAATGGTCTCCTTTTGGATTTATAAAAGGGAGGAAGAGAAGAGAGAAAATGACATTATGTCAAGTTCTGAGACACTATTTAAAGGGATTAGTGAACAAGCTTGTTTAAACTCCATAGACAAAAATTGTTCAAAGCAAAAGGAAGGGATATAAAGTTGGTTTATTTGGACAAAGCTAAAATATATGTTATTACATGGGAAGTACATAAAAATGTAACAAGCAAAGCAGGACCTGACATTGGCTATGAATAGAAAAATTGCAGAAGGACAGAGGAACTAATTCTAATTAAGCCTTAAAACAAATGCGTGCATGTAGTCCTCAATTTACAACTGTTTGTTTAGTGACCATTCGAAGTTACAATGGCATTGAAAAAAGTGACTTATGACCATTTCTGTTTTTTGACTGCTGCACCCTTGTGGTCATATAATCAAAATTTGGACCCTTGGGAACTGGTTCAACAGAGTCCAAAATTTCTGTTGCTAAATGAGACATTGGTTAAGTGAGTTTTGCCCCATATAACGGCCTTTCTTGCCACTGTCGTTAAGTGAATCCTGCACTTGTTAAATTAGTAACCCGGTTGTTAAGTGAATCTGCCTTCACCATTGACTTTGCTGGTCAGGAGGTCACAAAAGGGGGAATCATGTCACCCCGGGAACATTGCAACCGTCATAAATACGAGTCAGTTGCCAAGCATCTGAATTTTGAATCACGTGACCCTGGGGATGCTGCAACAGTCGTTAAGTGTGAAAAACAGTCGTATGTCACTTCTTCAGTGCCGTTGTAACTTCCAACGGTCACTAAATGAACTGTTGTAAGTCGAGGACTACCTAGAAATGCTCCAGAGTAGCGTTTCTCATCTTCAGCAATTTTTCCGGTATGTGGACTTCAACTCCCAGAATTCCACAGTCAGCCATGTTGGGCCCAGGGAATTCTGGGAGTTGAAGTCCACACGTCTTAAGAGTGGCCCAGGTTGAGAAATACCGCTTAATTAAATCATGGTGTTTGATTAATTATCCACCATTGTTCATTCGTGGAAAATGCAAGGCTGAGCGATCAAGGCCAATCCAGAAGGGGGCAGTGGATCTCCACTGATTTTGGGATCAGGAAATCCCATTTGTCTCTCAGTGAGGGAACCCTACCAGCTGCCAAGATCCAACCCGGAGAAAAAAAAATAGCATCGTTTTATACAGAGAGTAGATAAATGGAACTCCCGAACAATTATTGAACTCAAATGTTTTGCAGAAGCCCCAAGAGAGAGAGAGAAAAAAAAAACTCTGAGAAATTCAGAATATTTTTCTCTCATAAAGTTTTGGAAGATCAGCAGATGGCCATCAAAGCATAGCTTTTAGCGACCGTTTAAAGTTACAACAGCCCTTTAAAAAGTGATTTATGACAGTTTTTCATACTTACAACCATTGTAGCATCCTCATGAGTTTATTTTTAAAAAGTTTTTTATTTTTTTTCCTCATAAACGTATCTTAAATGTAGTTTCTTATCTAACATACATATTTTTCTTTTTAACTTTCATACTAATACAATCGTCATCCTAAACAATTTAATTATTTTCTGGGTTGCTCTTCTACCATTTCATCTCCCTTGTTTTACAACAATCCTTCTTCTCTCTCTCCTCTTTCCTTTCCCTCCTTTCTTCCATCTACTCTTCTACTTTCTTTCCTCCTCTCCTTCCCCCCCACCTCCCTTCTAACCTTCTCTCCTACTCGTTTCCTTTCTTCCTCTCCTTTTCCATTCTTTCCCTCTCTCCTTCCTCTCCTCTATTCCTCTCTATTTTCATCTTTCCTTCTCCTTCTCTCCTTCCATCTCCCTTCTTCCTCTCTTCTAACCTTCTCTCCTACTCGTTTCCCCTTTCTTCCTCTCCTTTTCCCTTTCTTCTTTCCCTCTCTCCTTCCTCTCCTCTCCTTTATCCCTCTCCATCTATTTTCTTCTTTCCTCCTCTCCTTCTCCTTCTCCCACCTCCCTTCTTCCTCCCTTCTAACCTTCTCTCCTACTCATTTCCCCTTTCTTCCTCTCCTTTTCCTTTTCTTTCCCTCTCTCCTCCCTCTCTTCTCTCCTCTATTCCTCTCCATTCTCTCTCTAATTGTTGTATTCATTTTCAATTTACTATTTTCCAAAGTGGTATTCGAGCAATCCCGATTTTTACCTTCTTTTCAATTACTTTTTCATTTTACTAAATTCAAACATATCGTCATAAATGTACATTTATATATTTTCTTTCCCCCTTTTCCATTTACACAGGTGTCTTCTGCATTTCTATTTCCTTTTTCTTCTTTCTCATCTTATCTAATTTATTTCTCTATAATCTTTTATTCATATTTCTTTTCTAACCATGCATAAAATCGTCCCCATGTCTTGAAATACACCCGATTCCTCTTTATCTTTTATTCTCAATGCCAACCTATTCATTTCTGCACATTCTCAAATCTTCTTTATTACCTCTCCTTCTGATGATGTCACTGATGAGTTTCCATCCGTTGATTCTTGTCCTGCCTTCTGGTCCTTTGGATAATAGGTTGAGCCAGTGGGGAAATCCAAATTTTTTTTTTTTACGACCGGTTCTGTGGGCGTGGCTTGGTGGGCGTGGCAGGGGAAGGATACTGCAAAAGCCCCCTTCCCACCTCACTCCTGGGGGAAGAATATTGCAAAATCTCCATTCCCAGCCCACTCCTGGGGAAAAGATATTGCAAAATCCTCATTCATGCTATCATGCTATCATGTCCTTTTCATTATGGAACTTCATTATGGATTCAATCCCACCTCCCTAAGTAAACCAGGATGTTGCCGAAACAAAACACCTGGGAACAAAGCCAGATTGTCCAAATTCTTCCTATTTCCTGTCCAGGGTTAGGCAATCTTTGGCACTTCTCACTTCTCCTCGAGAGTGGGCTTAAACATTTTTAGCCGACATTTTTTTTTTTCTTTAAAGGGGAAAACGTGAAGGATTAAATAAATAAATTTTGCAGAGTTGCATAGAGAAATTCAGAGACCTTCCCAGACGCATTGAATTCGTACAACGTGGTTGGGAGAAAAAGCAGGGGCAATATTGAAATATCATGCAGAGTTTAAGTTTAAATCCTCGTTTCTTTTTTGGGGTACTTGTGTGTGTGTGATTTAGCTCTGTCGGAGGAGGCTGCATTTTTGCATTTTTGTCGAGGTCTTTGATTGCATTTTTTGTCGAGCTCAAAAGTCAAACTAGGTCGAGAAGGTCACACAGCCTCGAATTTCCCCAGAAGGGGATTTTTCTTCTACAGAAGAATTCTTCCTTTTTTTTAGCTTTAATTGCATTTTCTTTGTTCCTCATTCGAGGAAGGGGGGGGGAAAGAATGAGGAGATTGTGTAGGACACAGAGACGTCATTGGTCCCCAAAAAAAGGGGGGGGATCTTTTCGTGAGGAAGGTCACAAAAGCAATCCCGGGGGTTTAATCGAAGGAAGCTAGAGCGAATCCACCCTGCAGGATCCAATCGAATCAGGCAGAAACAGGCAGTCCTCGATTTACGACCACAACCGAGAACCACATTTACGCCACTAATTGAGACATTCGTGGAGAGCTTTGCTCCCGTTTTTAGGACTTTTCTTGTCACGTTGGTTAAGTGAATCTTGTCAGAAGGTCGCAAAAGGGGATCACGTGACCCCGGGATGCTGAGACCGTCATAAAGATGAGTTAATTATCGAGCATCCAAATGTAAACCGTAAGTGTGGAAAAAAAAAACCCCGGTCCTAAATCACTTTTTTCAGTGCCGTTGTAACTTGGAACGGTCACTAAACGAACTGTCGTAAGTCGAGGACTACCTCCACTGGAATTGGGCAGTCCTTCGAGTAACCAGGCCGTAAACCCAGAAATGTTATATGGGCATAGTAAGGCATTGCCCATCATTAGCTACGCCATGGCGTTCTGGACCAGTTCAGGATAGACTTCAAGGGCAGCCCCATGTAGAGAGGGTTGCAGTAGTCAAGTTGTGAGGTGGCACGAAGAGTTGCATGCTGGACCGGTTAAAGCTTCTGGGTAGTCTTCAAGAGCAGCCCCATGCAATATGTGCTGTAGTAGATCGTCCTCGACTTACAACACTTCATTTAGTGACCGTTTGAAGTTACAACCGCACGGAAAAAAGTGACTTACGACTGTTTTCACACTTACGACCGTCGCAGCATTCCCGTGGTCGCGTGACAACCGGCAATTGACTCTTACTTATGACCATTGCAGTGTCCCAGGATACGCGATCACCTGTTGCGACCTTCTGACCAGCAAAGTCCATGGGGAAGGCCGATTCACTTTACAACCAGGTTGTTAGCTTAACAACAGCAATTCAGTTAACGACGGTTAACTGAATTCACTTAGCACAGCGTCTTCCTTAAGAACAATTTTTCAATTGTTTTCAATTGCAATTCTATACAATGTAAAGGATGTTATGTTTGTGTTTTTATTTTTAGTTATAATGTACACTGAAGACGGCGTTTAATTTCGTTGTACCATGTGCAATGAACTAAACTAAACTAAATTAAACTGAAATTTTGGGCTCAGTTGTGGTCACAAGTCAAGGAGTATCGATACACCCTATATAGAGGCTCCTGCCATCACCTTTTCCTGATCAATATTTAAATACACACCCTAAGGCAGTGATGGCTAACCTTTTTGCCATCGCATGCCAGGAAGGGGAGGGGGAGGTTTGCACACACGCGTGCCCACACCCATAATTCTATGTGCCCCACCCTGTGCATGCGTGTGCAACCCCCCCCCCGCTCCTGGCATGCAATGGCCCGTTTTTCTTTCTCACCTGGCTCCAGATCCTCTCTATGCATCTGGGGAGGGCAAAAACAGCCTTCCCCACACACACACACACCCCAGGCCCTCCGGAGGCAGGAAACAGCCTGTTTCCCTTCTTCTGGTGGACCCAGAAGGCCTGAAAATCAGCTGGCCGGCGCACACATGCGTGCCAGAGCTGAGCTGGCGTGCCCACTGATATGGGTACGTGTGCCACCTGTGGCACGCGTGCCATAGGTTCGCCATCATGGCCCTAAGGTAAAGGTAAAGGTTCCCCTCGCACATACGTGCTAGTCGTTCCCGACTCTAGGGGCCGATGCTCATCTCCGTTTCAAAGCCGAAGAGCCAGCGCTGTCCGAAGACGTCTCCGTGGTCATGTGGCCGGCATGATTCAACGCCAAAGGCGCACGGAAAACGCTGTTCCCTTCCCACCAAAGGTGGTCCCTCTTTTTCTACTTGCATTTTTTACCTGCTTTCGAACTGCTAGGTTGGCAGAGGCTGGGACAACTAAACGGGAGCTCACCCCGTTACGCGGCACTCGGGATTCGAACCGCTGGACCGCCGACCTTTCGATCGACAAGCTCAGTGTCTTAGCCACTGAGCCACTGCGTCCCTCCCTGTTATTTATGAGTTTCTGATTTTTTTTTTAAAGAAAATATATTGAGGTGGCTCAGATTTTAAAACTTAATTCCTTGGAAATAGTTCCTGTGTTAAAATGCAATCAGCCAAGAGAAAATAAATACAGCTGGTCCTTGACTTAAGAACAGTTCATTTAGTGATGGTTCGAAGTTACAACGGTACTGAAAAAAGCGACTTATGACCATTTTTCACACTTACGACCGTTGCAGTGTCCCGGGGTCACATGATCCCCTTTTGCGATCTTCCAATAAGCAGAGTCAATGGGGAAGCCAGATTCACTTAACAACCGGCTTACTAATTTATCAATTGCAGTGATTCACTTAACAACCGGCTTACTAATTTATCCATTGCACTGATTCACTTAACAAATGTGGCAAGGAAGGTCGTAAAATTGGGGGGGGGAACACATTTAACGGCCGTTTTGCTTCGCAGCAGAAATTCTTGGCTCGATTGTGGTCGTAAGCCGAGGACTATCGAGAGGCACGTTTTTTTTTTTAAAAAAAATACCTACTAAAGTTCTGCACATATGCAAGAGAAATACTTACGAGCTCGGTTTTTCCAAATCTTTTTCTTTTTTAAAAAAATGTGGATCAAACCCCAAGAAATTGGAACGCTGCCTTCTTAGGCAGACTCTAAAAAAAAAAAAAATAATGCTAAATTTATCGTTTTTTCAAATCTGTTCTTTTTGGGATTTTTTTTTTCCTCTCTTACGCGGATTGCAAATTTTGACATCCAAGCTGGCAGGGAAGTTTTCCCATCCTATCCGGCTGGATCCGGAGAACTACAGTTGAAATCTGCCTTCCGTGATCAAGAGACGGGCCATTCTTGCCAAGAGGAAAAAAAAAAAAAATGAAATTGTTTCAGCCAAAATGTCAGCTGGGTGGAAAAATGAAGAGGCCTTTGTGAAGCCTTCGGAAAAGCATCGCGGGCGAATCTGCGTAATGTTTGCCTTAATCTTAACTCGGCGTTAACTGTGACGCGACCAAAGCCAGATGAGAGAAGAAAGGTTAAAGTTAAGTTTTTGAGAAGGTGGGCTTCCTTTCCCAGGGTGGTAAAATACAATACAGGTAGACCTCGACTTACGACCACAACGGAGCCCAGAAGTCTGTGGTTAAAAGTGAAAACATCTGTTCAGTGAGTCTTGGGGCAGAGGTGGTATGCAGCTGGTTCAGACCGGTTCGGCAGAACTGCTTGCGGAAATCACGGGTGGCTCCACCCACCTTCCCCGACTCTGCCATCCTATTTAGTCGCGTTTTGTGGCTGGGTGCATGTACGGAAGGCGTGAGTGTCAGCAAAGTGCGCACGGACTCACATTTGCGAACCGGTAGGGAAAGTAAGTGAATACCACTCCTGATTTTACGACCGTTCGTGCCACCGTTGCTAAGTGAATCGCTGCAGTTGATAAAAAATTAGTAACCCGGTTGTTAAGTGAATCGGGCTTCCCCCTGGACTTTGCTTGCGAGAACGGGATCACATGACCCCCGGAAGACTGCAACAGTCGTAAGTACATGCCAGTTGCCGAGCCTCTGAATTTGATCACGATTATGGGAAATGCTGCAAAGGTCATAACTGTGAAAAACAGGTCGTAAGTCACGTTATTCAACGCCGTCATAACTTCAGACCGTCGCTAAATGAACTGTTCTTAAGTCGGACTCGCTGTAATCGCGAAGGTTGTTGCCAAAATTGTATGTTTGTGTGTGAGTGAAAAGCTTTGCTTGCACAATTGGGAGGAACATGGTTGGATGAGATTCAAAACTTTAAAAAGTCAGAGGTATTTAAGGAAATACGGGTAGTCCTTGATTTACAACCGTTCGTTTAGTGACCATTCAAAGTTACAATGTTGAAAAAAAGGGACTTACGACCGTTTTTCACACTTATGACCGTTGCAACATCCCCATGATCAAGTGATCAAAATTCACATACTTGCCAACTGCTTCATATTTATGACGGTCGCAGTGTCCCCGGTGTGTGTGTGTGTGTCATGGGATCCCCTTTTGCAACCGTGCTGACAAGCAAAGTGGACGGGGAAGCCAGATTCACTTAACAGTTGTGTTGCTAACAACTACAGGATTCGCTTAACAACTGTGGCAAGAAAAAATGGGGCAAAACTTCATAACTGTCTTGTTTAGCAGCGCCAATGTTGGGCTCAGTTGTGGTCGTAAGCCGAGGACTACTTGCAAATGTAACATTCAAGCGCCATCTTTTCTTGAGATCCAGCATTTGTATTAGTATCCGGTGACAGCACTTGGCTGATGGGTCTCTCGGTTCAGAAGCTAAGAAGATCAGTTGGTATTACTGGAAAGGAGACCACCAGGAAATAAAAAAAAAATCCAGAAAAAAAAAGTGGGACTGCCTCCATATCCTTTACAAAAAGCCTTCCTTGGATATCTCCAAGGATCAAGCTCAATGCAAAGGAAGCTTTTAATTTTACATGTATAACTTAATTTGCACGTTTAAAGGGCTGTGGGAACTCTGCCTCTTACATCAGGCTTTCATGCAAAACCTTTGGTTGAGCAACAAAAATCCAGCCTACAGACAGTCCATGAGTTTCCTGAGTAATGTAGGAACAGGCTTGGTTAGCGTGAGGATGGAAGACCACCAAGAAATCACAAGAGCTGGAGGAAAAACCGAAGAACTTTCCAAGAGAAACAAGGACAATTCCACCGAAAGGTTGTGGTAAACTGCTTCCCTCTTGTGGCCAAAGAAGGTATATACACCTTCTGGCCAGTTATCAGCTCAAATGGAATTGAATAGGTTGTGGGTGGGTGTGTTACAATCGTGTTTCTCCTTAGCAACTTTCAGAGGTGTGAACTTTAACTCCCAGAATTCCCATGCTGGCTGGGGAATTCTGGGGGTTGAAGTCCAACACCTCTATACCTCTATACCAATGATTGAGAAACATTGCCCTAGACATTTTCTCAAATCCACAATTTCTGGGGCTGAACCGTCCTCTTCGGAAGATCTTCGAAGTGAATCGAAGGTAGTCCTCGATTTACAACCATATTTGAGCCCAACGTTTCTCTTGCTAAGCAAGATGGCTGTTATAATGAGTTTTGCCCCATTTTACGACCTTTCTTGCTACAGTCGTTAAGCGAATCAGGGCAATTGTGGTGCGAATCACGCGGTTTGTTATGTGAATTTGGCTTCCCCCGTTGACTTTGATAGCCAGCTGGAAAAGTCGCAAAAGGGGATCGCGCAACCGCGGGACACTGCAACCGTCGTAAATACACGCCAGTGGCCAAGCCTCCGGATTTGGATCACGCGACTATGGAGATGCTACAACGGTCGCTAAGTGTGCAAACCAGGCATGAATCACTTTGTTCAGGGCCGTTGCAACTTCAGTCACTAAACGAATGGTTGTAAGGCGAAGATTACCTGTCTCTGAAGGACATTGTAGATCAGGGGTGTCAAACTTGCTTTCATTGAGGGCTGCATCAGGACTGTGGTTGAACTCGGGGGGCCGTGTAGGCATGGCTAACTGGGTAGGTGTGGCTATCTTGATGCCACTCACTGGGCGTGGCCAACTGGGTGAGTGTTGTGGCCCATACGCGGCCTGTGCAGCTGATTCGGACAGCGAGGAGGCTGGTGTGGGGCTGCGCCAGCAGCCTGTGCAGCTGGCACTCGAGTCGGACAATGAGGAGGCTGGAGAAGATGTGGTGCCAGAGGTGGGGATTCAGCCAGGGCCTTCAGAACATCCAGAAGCTCCCATAAGTGAAGAGGAAGAAGAGGAGGAGCCTCTTCTCAGTGCACGGGCACGCAGAGCTGCCAAAAGGCAGGAGTGGCTTCTCAGGAGGAGGTCTCCTCGAGAGTAAGGCTTGGGGCTAATTGGCCACTCCCTTAGCCTATTTAAGGAGGAATGCCGACTGAAGCAATTTGCAGGGAACAACTTCGTTCACTCTCCTTCGCGTCTTGATCTTAGTTCTCTGCAAATTGCTTCTGGGCTTTCTGCCAACCATAGTAAGATTACGATTATTGTTGGCTGTTAAGAAAGTTAATTAACAGCCTTTGTTTGGAAAAAAAAAAACTGATTTAATTTAGTAAACTAAGGTCTGTACAGACTTCGTGTGTGCTGCGTTCTTTGGGGTCCGTAGCTGGGGCAGAACAGCGAGCGTGACGAGCCTGAAGCCACTCCCAAAACTGCTGGCATGTTTCCTCTTTGCATTGGGTAGACTGGGCCGAAGCAATTTTCCAGGATGGCTCCGTGGGCCGGACTGGACCACATTGCCAGCCGGATGCAGCCCACAGGCCATGAGTTGACACCCCTGCTGTAGAAGCCACAGCTGTGGTCTCAGGGTTTCCAGGAGAACAACTGAGGGTTAGGAAAATCAAATAAACCAGGGGACTCTAACCCCTATTCTGTGGACCGGTAGCAGTCCATGGCTCGTTGGAAACCGGGCGAGCGTGCAAGCACACGAAACTATTTGCACAAGTGGCAGGCATGCACATGAAACCATCCCCTTCCCCGCTCACCCCCCCCCAATCACCGGCGGTCCAGAGCTGGAAATTTGGGGGGGGTACCCCTGAAATAAACCAGACTTGTGAGCGTTTTGTCCCATCCATTATTGTAACGCGGAGTTGAGATATACCAAAAAAAAAAAAAAGTATAAATTAAATGTTTGTACAGAAGGCACATTCGTGGCTGTGTTTTTTTTTAAAAAAAGAAGTCTCATCGTGCGGAGGCTCGGTCCTCGATCACAACACGTACGGCGCCACGGATCCGTGGCCGCCGTGACATCGTAGGACCTCTTTCTTGCTCGGTCCAGCTTCTCGGTGGTAGTGTCCTTCCCGAACGGTCTTAAGACACCGGATGTTCTTGGCCAAGGCCACGCTCTTGATGGAAGGCAAGTATCTCAACATCGGTTTGGAGAAAGTGGCGGCCAGCCTCGTCCCTGACAGGTTGAGCTCTTGCAACGAACTCAAGCTGTAGAACACTTTGGGGTTCAAGGATTTCATGTTGGGATTGTTGGATAAATCCAGCACTTGGAGAGCGGAGAGGTCCTTGAAGCCAAAAGGCGAAATGTCCAAGAGATGGTCAATCCCACTCAAGGACAAGTGGGTTAACCCTATCAGGCCCAAGAAGGCGTCCTTCTGAATGACGGACACTGGGTTTCCATCCAGGTTTAAGTAACGAAGGGGGATCCCTTGGAGATCTGGAATGCTGGTTAATCGGTTCCCCGAGAAATTTAAGCTTTGAATGTTAGGAACGGGTTTATCCGAGTATCTTGACACCTGGCTTATTAAGTTGTTGGAAAGATCAACGTTGATGGGTTTTCCTTGACCTCTGAAGGCAAAGACGTTCAAGGGGACCTCCAAGAGAAGGTTGTTGCTAAGGTCCACTTCTCCCAGAGGGGACTGAGAGAAACAGTCCTCGGGGATGGTCACCAAAGAGTTATGGCTCAGATCCAAAGACTCAAGATACCGGAGTCTCGAGAAGGTGGTAGGGACCACCTTGGAGATTTTATTGTAGCTCAAGTCAAGGCCTACGAGAGTGGTGTAACCAGGCCCGGTTAACATGGACTGGTTGATGGCTTCCAAGTGGTTAGAAGATAAATCCAAGTAGGTGGTGTCCAAGGGGATGGGAACAGGCACGAGGTGGGATCCGATCCCACTACAGTCCACTTTGGTGAGGCTGAAGCTGTCGAAGAGGCCAAAGGTCTCCACTTCGCAGTGGCATCTCGGGAAGCAAGTCCTTGAGGTGCCGAAACAGGGCAAAACTAGCAGCACGTGAAACCAAACCAAGGACGACATCTCGGGACACCTGCAGAACGAAAACAAGAATGGAACAAGTGGACGTGACACAGGTGGAGAAGACAGTTCCCGAAAATTCTACACAGAAGCTGGGATGCTCAGCGACCTTCCCGAACAACATCGCACACCTGCATTTCCTGCGCGAGCTGCACTGGCTCCCGGTGGTCTTCCGGGTGCGCTTCAAAGTTTTGGTTATCACCTTCAAAGCGCTCCATGGCTTAGGACCTGGCTATTTGCGGGACCGCCTGCTACCACCGATAGCCTCCCACCGGCCAGTACGCTCCCATAGAGAGGGGCTCCTCCGGGTGCCGTCGGCCAAACAATGTCGACTGGCGGCCCCCAGGGGAGAGCCTTCTCTGTGGGGGCACCTACGATCTGGAACGAGCTCCCCCGGAGATACAGAGGATCCCGGATCTGCGTACCTTCCGTCGCGCGCTTAAGACTTTTTTATTTCATCAAGCTGGCCTGACCTAAATTTTCCTCTTTTAAATGGAAATTTTAAATTTGGTTTCAAATTATTGGGGTTTTAAAATGGTTCAGCCAAATTTATTTAATTTGTTTTATCTCCATTTTAAATTTTGTATCTATATGTTTTATTTCATGGCTGTTCACTGCCCTGAGTTCTTCGGGAGTAGGGCGGTATACAAATTTAATAAAATAAAATAAATAAAATAAAATAAAATAAATTTACCGGGAAAGATCCATTCCAAAAGTAAACTACTAATATTTTCCCGGAAACAAATGTAATTTTTTTTTTAGGCTCTACCAGGCAAGCCCATCACTTTAAAACTGGCCAGCCCATTTCAAAACTGAAAAAAAGGATTGAACTCCAAGGGTGAATTTTATAAAGGAAACAGGTCCTTCCAAAACCAGAAAAAGAAAGAAAGAAAAGCGAAGTGAGACCAGAGCACCAACTGAACTGAAGAGAAGGGAGGTGACAGTAGGAATAAATTATATACAGTAGCCTGGGGAAGAGACAAAAGATGATTAACAGCTTCTATTTTTAAACAGAAAAGAGACAAGGGTGAAGACCAAGCAGGGCAGGATAAATCAAAACCTCCGAATGGTGTTGCTTTTATAGCATTTCTCTTTAAAACCCTTAAAAACTCCCCCCCCGTTCTCTGAAATACAGGAGGTCCTCGACTTACGTCGGCCACCGAGCCCTAAATTTAGGTTAATTCAGCGAGAAATTCGTTGTTTTGCCCCGTTTTACGACTTTTCCCGCCTTAAGAGAAGCGCTGCCGTTCTTAAATGAGTCGCGCGGTCGTTAAGCGAATCTGGTTCCCCCCCCTTGAATTTGCCTGTTGGAAGGTCGCAAAAGGGGATCGCGTGACTCCGGGAGTCTGCGACTGTCATAAAGGTGAGTCAGCGGGTCAAGCATCTGAATGTCAAATCACGTGATCCTGGGGGATGTGGAAAAAAGGTGAAAAAGTCACTTTTTCCAGTGCTGTCGTAAGTATGAACGGTCACTGAATGAACAGAATACGGACTACCTTTCTGTCTCTTTCACTTTCCTCTCCCTTTCTCTTCTCTCCCTTCTTTTTCTTTCCTTCTCTCTCCTCTCTTCATTGCCCCCTCTCCTCTCTCCTTTCCCTTTCTCTCTTTTCTTTCTTTCTCTTTTTCCTTTTCTCTTTCATATTTCCTTCTCACCTCTTTCCCTTTCTCTCCTTTTCTTTCATTTTTTCTCTCCTTTCCCTCTTTCTTTCTTTCCCTCTCCTGTCTCTTTCTCTTCTTTCTTTCTTTCTCCTCTCCCTTTCTCTTTCCCTCTTTTCTCTCTTCTTTCCCTCTCTTCTTCCTTTCTCTCCTCTTTCCCTCTCTTCTTCTTTCTCTCTCTTCTTCTCTATTTCTTTCCTCTTTCCCTTTCTCTTCTTCTCTTCCCTTTCCCTCTCTCCTTTCTTCTTCTTTCTCTCTCTTCTTCTTTCTCTATTTCTTTCCTCTTTCCCTCTTTCTCTTCTCTCTCTTCCCTTTACCTCTCTCTCTTCTTTTGCTCTTTCTTCTTCTCTTTCCCTCTCTTTCTCTCTTCTTCTCTTTCTTCTTCTCTTTCTCTCTCTCTTCTTCTCATTCTCGCTCTCATTCTTTCTCTCCTCTTTCCTTCTCTCTCTCTCTCTCCCTCCTCCAAATTGAGAAGCAAAAACCAAACCAAACCAGCAGACTGCAAGTTTTGACTTGCAAGGGCTCGAGGAAAAAAAAAATTGTGGCTTGGGCAAAATGTAAAGAAAAACTGGCATGGATTTTCCAGGAACTTGCTAACCAAGGCACAAATTATTATTTCTTTTCATAATAATACATTAATCCGTCACGCGCTTAAGACTTTTTTATTTCATCAAGCTGGCCTGGCCTAAATCTTCTCCCCTTTTTTAAATGTAAATTTTAATTTGTTTTTAAATTATGGGGTGTTTTAAATTTGTTCAGCCAAATTGTTTAATTCATTTTTATTCTATTTTAATTTTTTGTATTTATGTGTTTTATTCTGTGGCTCTTCACCGCCCTGAGTCCTTCGGGATTAGGGCGGTATACAAATTTGATAAAATAAAATAAATAAATACGTCACTAACATATTTCTATGGAGTCCAGTTTTAGTCACCACGATCGGAAGTGGCGAGTCACATACCGTAGCAACCGGTTTGCATCAACCGTTACGAACCGGCTGCATACCACCTCTGACCACGACACTAGAGGCGTGTTGAGGCTTTAGAAAGCGTGCAGAGAAGAGCAACGAAGAGGATTAGGGGGACCCGGAGGCTAAACTGCACAATGACGTTGCAGCAATTAGCTACGTCTAGTTCAGTGATGGCTAACCTTTTTGCCATCGCGTGCCAGGAGCAGGGGGGAGGGTCACACACGCATGTGCCCACACCCATAATTCTATGTGCCCTGCCCCTGTGAATTCCTCTGTTGTGGATTTCTGATGAAAGACAAACAGTTGTGTTGCAAAAAACAAAAATAAATGAAGAAAAGAAGAGACGGTTGTCAGATAAGCAACGGGTCTCTTGCGTTGTGTAAGCCGAGTCTTTCCAGCCGCACAACGCTGCTGCAACGGGTCGGTCGTTAAGTGTGATAAGCCATCGTTAAGTCACTTTTTCCAGCGTCGGCGTAACTTTGAATGAACGGTTGTAAGTTCGAGCATCTAAACTGTACCAGTGAGCCGGATCCGGTTGTCTTAGAGCAGTGATGGCTAACCTTTTTGCCATTGTGTGCCAAAAGCTGGGGGAGTGGGGGGGGGGGGCGCATGTGCATGTGCCCACACCCATAATTTAATGCACCCCTGCCCCCGCACATGCGCGTATGACCCCCCCCGTGCTCTCCCTGCTTTTAGCATGCGAAAGCCAGGTAGGCCGTTTTTCGGCCTCCTCAGGCTCCAGAGCCTTCCTAGGAGCCTGGGGAGGCCAAAAACGGCCTTTCCCACCTCCTGGAGGCCCTCCAGAGACCGGAAACAGCCCGTTTCCCGACTTCTGGTGGCCCGGAAGGCCCGAAAATCAGCTGGGCGGCGGCACATATGCTCTGGAGCTGAGCTAGGGCAACACTCGTGTGCCCACAGATATGGCTCCACGTGCCACGCGTGCCATAGGTTCGCCATCACGGTTTTAGAGAAAGAAAATAAATGTGATTTATCGCAGGGAGTGAAAAACTCAACCCCAAGTCGGCAGCCCTCCCTCCTATTTGAACCTGCCTTGAGGCTAAATGGGGATTTGATCTCCCAGTCCAATTTTTCTTTCTCTTAAATTGCAGAACCAAAAGGTAAAACAAAACAAAACAAAAAATTCGACACAACGGACGGCCCCTTTGGAATTAAGGGTTGGTTACCTTCCTGGCATGGGCTGTCTGGTGGGAAATCCGGCTGGATCTGGCTGTTTGCAATTGGCTGGCTTAAAGGATCAGTGGGGTTTTTTTTTGTGTGTGCAACGGCTAAGGTGGGGCCCAGGTGTGGCTTTTGTGCGGCTGGAAAGACTCGGCTTACACAACGCAAGAGACCCATTGCTTATCTGACAACCGTCTCTTCTTTTCTTCATTTTTTTTTTTGCAACACAACTGTTTGTCTTTCATCAGAAATCCACAACAGAGGAATTCACAGAGGCGCACATATCTCACATTTATTTCTTTCTTTATTTCTATCCTGCATTTGTTGTTTTCACACATAATTCAAAAATGGAGAAATACACAGCAAAATACACACCTCCTTCTATTGTCTCTGCAACAACAACCCTGTGAGGTGGATTGGGCTTAAGAGAAACTGGCTGGCCTAGAGAGTCACCCGGATGGATTTTGTGTCTAAAGCGGGAAAACGGGGACTCCTCGGATTACAACCGCAGTTGAGATCCAAGATGGCTGTTGCTAAGCAAGACAGTTGTTAGGTGGAGTTTTGCCCCATCTTACGAACTTTCTGGCCGCGGTTGTTAAGTGAATCGCCTGCGGTTGTTAAGGGGATCTGGCTTCCCCCTTGACTTCGCTCGCCGGAAGGTTGCAGAAAGCGACGACGTACTGCGGGGATATTGCAACCGTCATAAATATGAAACAGTTGCCAAGCGTCTGAAGTTATGTCAACACGGGGATTCTTCTATGGTTATAAGTGTGAAAACTAGTCATAAGTCACTTTTTTTCAGTGCCATTGTAACTTTGAAGGTCATTAAATGAACTGTTGTAAGTTAAGGATTACCTTTATATGTTATTTGGAGTTTTTTTTTTATATATATAGCACTGGAGACTGGCAGAGAAGGCTTCCGGTATTGAGCAGAATTAGGAAATTCTGTTTCTTGAGGGATTTATCACCTGTCTAACGGGCAACCAACCAATCCGGTTGTTGTGTCATCAGACTTAAACCGACTGTTTTGTTTCTCCCTTTGGGAAGTTGCTGGCAGGAAGCGTTTTGTAATCCCTTCAAAACTTTCTGCCAAAGTTAGATTCAAGACAGGCTTGGAGTAGGAGACGCAGCCACACCCCCGCTGTGGAGGCAGACACAAAAATACCGGAAACAAAAAAGATTTAAACATTCCTCTTTCCTTTCCCACCAAG